CGGTGCTCCAGGTAAATGATAAATAAATTTCAAATAGCTTTTACGGCTGTACAATGGTAACTGCGACCATGAAAATCTCAGAATATGTAGTTGTGATATATGATTTAATCCCAAACGGGAACAACTAATCGGTAGAGTTTAGTCAAGAAACATTGTTTTATAGCTTAATTTATATCTTGACCTTGAGAGGGAGCTATACAACATAAAGAGTTTATTATTTACAATTTCATAACTGAAGACTCGATTTCATCTGCGACAACGATCACTGAATATTGTAGGACCGCATATGCGTCCAATATGTTCATTTGAACCAAATTCATGACCCCATACCAAAACTTTGTATTACCTTTAAATATTCTCTGGCTACAAGTATACAGTTTTATCACCAACATTAAACTAAATAAAATCTTTGTTCATTTTAATGGAAATGCTGGTTAAATAAGATATGATAATATGAATTATGCAACTAGCTGGCATTTTCCATTCCCATCTGAATATGTGCAGGTATATAATTATATTTGGAGTGTAGAAATTGTGCTACGGTATTACTCAACATGTATACTTCTACTGTCAAGTTTTATTTTTTGATAATGATATATTTATTTTTGCCAAGTGTGTGCTAAGAACAGGGGCCAGACTCGACTAGCACATGTGCTATTATTTGGCTCCTTTTCATCACCTTCTATATTCTATGAGAAAAGACATATGTCTAGCATATCAATACTTTGTTAGGTTTTTCTTTAATATGATCTATAATATTCATTTATGAACATGTACCATTCACGATGTATTCAAATGTTTAATCACTGATGTTATTGATGATGAATAAATAAAATAAAATAAAATCAAATCAAATCAAATATACTGAGCAACAGTGTATGTTTTGGTACAGTCGTAAACATGTACGCAAGTCATAACAGCTGCTATGACCTTTACAAGACAACAATCCTGGTTGGGTACAGGTATACATTAAAAGACTTAGGAATCTATTTCAGTTCATGGTTCTTATATAACAAAAATATTAGCTACAGTGTAGGTCAGTTTGCTCAGTCGAAGGGAAATACATGTACTGTACTGTATGTGTAAGAATTAATTGTAGGCCTATAATACAAAGTTACAAACATATTTTAGCCAAGGTCTAATTAGTGTTCACTGTTCAGCATATACATGTACAGTAACTGTCATCTAAGTGTATGTCACGGATAGGCTATGTCATGTACGTCACTGACTCACTGTGTGATGCTGGTATGACATGAAGTAAACAGTTCCCCACTAACCTTTACAGAAGGGGCACATTTAAAGGAAACTTTAGACATTTATTTTAGCCAATGTTCTTGAAATATGCTCTAGATCGATTGTTACTCATATGAGACTTTGTTCTCACACCTTATATGCCTGTATATCCACCCGGGAAAACCTGTGTGCCCCCCTCCTGATGGCTTGTGTCCCCCTAAAGACTACATCTCAATGACAGCTGAGTGAATGTCATTCAATACATAAAGGCTAAACATACAGCTGTATAGCCTATATATTGTAATTTACTCAGATTTGACAAGATCACTATATGGCCACAGCCCCAGCCATGGCAATAAGGGACAGTGGGGCACATTATATTACGAATCATACACACCACATGACCAATTTGAAATATACATGTAGGCCTACACCTACAGGTACAGTATCTTCAAAAAATTGGGTCAAGGTCAACTTCGCTGTAAATTGACTGACCCAAATTCTAATACTCTAGCTCAAGGAAACCCATTTATGTCACTTGGAGCGCCCTTATGGCTAATGAGCTGTTCCAACACAAGTAGGTATGCATTTTTGCGGGTAGGCCTATATAGATGCAATTGCATTCGCAACCAAAGAGTTGCACAGTAATAACTCTTTAAAATAATAATAATGATAATAATACATATTTTGGGGATCTAGCACAACTACATTTTGATGTAATGTCTATATATATATATATATATATACATGTATATGCTTCCAATAAGAGGTCAGAAAACATACCCTAGATTTAGCTCCAGCAGCCATTTATATCAGCACAAAGTGCATAATTTTGAGGAATAAATCATGCCAGGTTCCTATTAACACCTGGGTGGAGAGTGTCAACTGTGGATAAAATGCCTTGTTTAAAAAGGATATTTACTACATGCAACAGGAGTACCCACTGGGCAAATATCCATAATAAAAAAAAAGACCTGTATAGTTGGCATGTGACTTTATAATAACACTTGTTTGGAGCTAGATTTGAAGGATATTGTAAATAATGATGAGTTAATGTCCCTCTGGCTCCAAGCAGACAATAATATTTGACTCATAAAACAGGTAAAGGTCATCCACCACAGCCCTGTATTAAACAGTATTTGGCCCCCAGGCATGTATGAATCAGATTAGCTAGCTTCTTTCTAGCTCTATACTATAGCAAGATTTTGCATGAGCCTGCCTGGCAGGACTAGCTATTACTGATCTGACCAAGTGATAGCTGAGTCATCAAATCATAACAAGACTCTGGTTTCCTGGACAAGGGACCATACAACGAAAGTATGGGGTGCTCGAAAATAAATATCTGACATGCAGAGAAAGAGTGACTGTCTGAGTAGCTACATGTATATGGTACACGTACATGTTCATGCACTACATGGAAACATAAACATGTCAATTAAGTCCATTGTCTGGCATGCATTAATTATATTGACATGTACTTGTATCAGTATTGATTGCGCAACATATTTCAACCAATTCATGTAGTTCAGAGTGCATGCCAACATATTTTCAGATATATCTAAATTAACTCTATGATTTCTTTTGGTAACAGAACTTTGTCCATTATTACATCAATTGTGCATGCACAGCTATCCACAAAGTACATTGTACATGTACGATTACATGTAAGTGCACTATTTCAGTTGCCTATTGTAGGGCATGCACATTCATGTACCTTTCTACGTACCTCTTCTTTAAATATGAAACGATCGAACATTATGTTGTACTGATCTGCATATATTTGACGATGTACTTGTTGTATGGTAGAACTGAACAGCAAATTTACAACCACCTTTAAGAGTTAAACAATACCAATACATGAACATGTATACAGCAAGGTCCCTTCTGTAATGACTCCCTTCCCTAATTAGTGTGAAGTCCAAGTATAGCTGTCCTTCAAAAAATTCAATAACAAATTATCTTCCAAGTTGATTATAAATGTAATGAATAATAAAAATCCACAGGGGGATATTTGCCCAACAGGCATCCAAATAAACAGAGCATGTAAATAGGATCTTACTTAAAAGGTCATCACCCTAGCTAGCAAGGCTGGCCAGGAAAGCCTTGAATGTGAAGGTCACATTGTGTTTTTGGCTCCCTGCCACCTGTCGCATAAGATAGGCCAAAAAGAATTTTGAAGATGACAGTTCTCATGATAACTTAAAGGGAGTGTAGGGTGGGTGCACTTTCCCCCCAAAAGCTAACAAACATGTAAAATGTAATGGATTTTAGAATATATCCTTTTGCAAAAAGCAAAGGTTCATGTACATGTAAAATGTATACCATAGGCCATTAATCAGCTCTTGAGGTCATCAAAAAATACTACCGGGGTACATGAATACAAATAATTTTCCTGACCCTACATGTATGACCTTACATGTACATTTATATGTAACCTCTGAATTCATCATTGATGCTACTTTATCAAAAAGAAAGACCTGTATCAGAATCAGTCCACACAGTTCACCCATCCTGTTTGTGATCGAGAGCATAGATTTCATGTCTGAACCTGTTCCTTTTTTCCAGTTCACATGAAGCCAACACCCTTGAGCCAAACCCTACCTTTCTGGAGCAGACTGACAGTAACGTTAAAATTTAAGAAGGATTCTTATTCATCAAGCAGATGAAGTTAAACCTGGCTTAAACTTAGTCCAATTATAAACCGTGCTGTATACTTTGACATGTATAAGCACCCACTGTCAACCTTGATCTCCACATGTACTGTACTTCAAGAACAAATTGAATTTGATTTCATTTAGTCTTCAAACAATAATGAGATTGATTCATGATGACATGATATTAGTTTATTAATTCCTTCATTTACAAAATGTGAAAATGATCATTTTATAATCTTGTGGTCCACACTTATTACATGTTTCAGATGATCAATGGATTTTATACTAGACACTCAAGGTTGTGGTTATGAATAACATTTTGCATGCGGTTCTTGAACTGACTAAAGTACACTTATCTACATGTACATGTATTTAGGGCTACTTGGTATGTTGTGGACAAAATGAAAAGGAGGTCACTGCTGTTTGACCTCTTTTAACCATGAATTTGTATATTGATCTTGGCAGTTCACCAGAAATGCTCCAAACGTTCTCTTCCTCCCTCTCTCTCTCTCTCTCTCTCTCTCTCTCTCTCTCTCTCTCTCTTCTCTTCCTGAATCCAACTCCTCACTCTGCTGTTATCTCCTCTTTGTTTTTCTATCTCTTAATTAAACTCATAGATCTATTCCATTTTTAAATTTTTTTAACTGAACCCAAAATTTCAGTTGTTTTGTTTTTCTATTCTCTTATCTCTCTACAACATTTTTCAGAATTAAACTGACAATAAAGCCTTATGCCTTGGCTATTTGTTATACAATGTCTTCTTCAAGTTCAACATGTTAACTCAGTGTCAAAGTCAAAGTCAAAGACCAGAGGATCTTATAAAAATGTACGCATTAATTTTTCTTTCATCTTTGCATTCGTTCACCATTGACCTCGGTATTGAATCTTAACCTAATTTCACGGTACAATCATTATCGTGTATTATGAATATAGCCATCGCCCCCCCCCATCGTTATTGACTTTTCCATGAAATGGAAAGCTCAAATAACATCACTTCCTCTTATCTATTGTATCTAGATCTACTACTGAAAAAAACATATTTCCCAATATTAACAAATGTGTCTGTTGCTTTTGAACCCCCTAAAAAAAATATATAAATATGTACATACTTACTTTATTACCTTGCACAGTTTTCAGCAGATCAATTTAGATTAGTAGTTCTCCAGGTACCAGCAGTACTCCAGTACATGTACAGTAGTGTATAGTGCAGCTCAGCTGCTGCAGTGGATATTTCCGCTCTCCAATTTCCCTGCACAATCAGCTTAGCAGCTGGGTTTCAAACCACCTTGTATTTCTTACAATATATCACTCAATTTACGGACAACTGATTGTAGAAAACCAGAAAACACTATGGAACAGTAGATACACTATCGAGTCATGAGATATTCCACGTTGAAATGTTTAAAAAACATCGATAAAATTCGCATTTTCTATCCGAGATTTCTTTCTAGCTTCTCAGCAGCTCGGCAGGTCGAGATATTGTTTTGGATCTGTCAGCTACTTCTCAAGGCTGTACCAGGAAACAACAGCAACCGAGGTTGACCAATCAAAACTCGTCTCTCTGGGGGCTCGCCCTTTAAGGGCCGCCTACTTATTCAATGTAAATTTTCTGTTCAGTTGGGAGAATTTGCATCAAAACAAAACTTTAGCACATTGTACACATTAGGATCATCAGTTTAACAAAATATCTTCTGTACATCTTATAAATATGATTATTATCTTTTATTCATTCATCAATAATAATTCACAAAATGTTACATTTGTATGGTAAAAGTGAAAATAAATGTGTGTGATGATGTAATTCTTGTATGAGCTGCGAACCAGCTAGAACCAGACTGCTTGCATCATCAAAGTCACATGGGGTGACGTCAATGCGATCCGTGGAAAAATCCAAAGGGAAATCGATTGTTGGCAGGGAGCCAATCTATGCGGGGGTAGCAGAGCAAGTTGGCAAAAGGGTCGACTGAACCTGAATAATAAGGTCTCCCTGTATTTTGAAGGGGTTATGACCTGAATTTCCTGAAATGCATGTATTTCTTTAAAATTCTGTCTTTCTGTTCAAGTAATTTTATGTTGGCATCAACGAAAGCAATAAGAACATCGCATTGGGTTCTGTTGACTATGACCACATTCATATTGAATGTTTAAATAAAAAATATAATAATAGGGTCCATTATTATATAGACCCTCTAGATGAATTATTATTATTATTATTATTTCTATTATCTTTGAAAAATAAATGCTAAAAGAAGAAAGAAAGGGAGATTGGAAGACGACATTACTGTTATCATTAATTAAAATGATCACCTCCCTCGATCTCCTCGATTTAATTTTGCTCTCACGCATTAGGCATTCACACAAAGATCCGTGCCAGCCCCCCCCCCCCCCCCCCCTGACAAAAGTGCCCACAGACCAATATTTGCCTATGAGCATGGACATACTGATCTCCATGTTATAATGAGGAAGAGTTTCTGTCCCTATTGCTCACTCTTTTTTTTTTTGGATTTTTTTTTTTGTAAAATGAATATATTGATAAATATATGCTTTTAAACAAATTAAACAATCATATACAATCAATTGAAATAACATCGTAGCATCCTTACACAATTCAAATAAAAAATGTTTCATTATCTTGAACAGCAGTGTTTTTTTAAAAAAGCATAGATTTTTTGTTATACAATACTTATCGATCTTTAAACTGTTATGGATTAATCTTTTGAAAATACAAAGAGAAGTAGAGACTTCATAAAACATAAATTTGCGATTTTCTGCGGGCATGAAAAAAATTAATGTTAGATAAACTGCGTATTTTGCATACATGATCAGAAAATTTAAACTTTTGAACATTTTGTTTTTCAAGTTATAATCTGTATTTAAGATGAATTTGTAGGAAGAAAAAAAAACATTGTAAAGTTTTCGAACTATGTCTCCAAATCTTAACCGATAGAATCTTGTGTTTGCATTTTACGAACAGATGAAGATTGTCGTGTAACTCATCATCATATTATGAACAATAGGGGATTGTTACATAATTTCCATTTGAATAAATTATACCTAGTTGGTATTAAATTTTGTAACACCTTAACATTAAATTCTGTTTTTCTGTTTACTTTCATATCTTGTAAATCAAATGACCCTATGAATTTCAAATCAATTTGTTCTATACTATTTAATATTTCTTCCCATTTATCTTCAATTCAATCTAACAATTGAATGAATAGACATCGTAAAGTAAAAAAAAATAGATTTTCGTTTAGTGTTAACATTCATTAAAACATTTTTCATTACTGCTTCATTTTTTCCTGCATCGCATCATATACCAGTCTAAACATGGAATTGTATTTACTATGATATAATATTCTTAAAACAAAGAAGCATGTTTTTTCTAATCTTTCTTTAATTTCTTTCAAAGACATAAATCTAGAGTCTTTTACGATATCATTAATTTTCAAAACGCCTACATCAAACCATTTTTTTGATAAATAATGCTTTTTGGTTATGATCTCTTATATCTGAGTTTAACCATATGTTTTCACTTTTAACATCAATAAACTGTAAATCAATTTTTGTATTACTTTCTACTGTCTCTTTAAAGTCAGACCAAATAGACCATCTTCTTGTGATAATGGGGCATTTTTATATTCTCTATATAAACAAAACTTCATATCATCTTTTCTACATTTACTAAGTTACTGTCAATGGAGCATGGATCTAAACTGATCTCTATTTTTCAAGGAGAAAGAGTTTCTGTCCCTGTTGCTTACTCGTAACTATGTGCCATACGAAAGGAGAAGGAGGAGGGGGAGGAGGAGGAGGAGGAGGAGGAGAAGAAGAAGAAGAAGAAGAAGAAGAAGAAGAAGAAGAAGAAGAAGAAGAAGTGTTAAAAGTATAGGAGCATTTTTATATCATCCCTCTAACATACACCATTCAAGAAGAAGAAGAAGAAGAAGAAGAGGAAGAAGAAGAAGAAGTGTTAAACGTATAGGAGCATTTTTATATCATCCCTCTAACACACAACATTCGTTCACTGGACTCACGTTTTTGAATAAAAAGATGATACAGGATGAAAAGAACATGACTAGCAGCATTTTCATTTATTCAGTATTTTGATGTATACAAAATACCATATAATATTCTATAAGCTAAGGGCAAGACAATTATAAAACAAATCTAAGTAATATCCTAGCACTAAATCAAATTTTAGTTCTACGTTATTTAAATAATACTTTTATCTGACAGTTTTAAACATGTTAGCTGTATAAGGCTTTGGCTAGAATTTTTTTATGAGTTGATGTTCTTCTGATTGTACACAATCACAGGTATAGTATCTAAAGTACTAACGTTATATTTGCTCGTCTTCCAGGTTATCGGTTCTAAAAAAATAGAAAACCATTCAAGCACCGGGCTGGAGCAGGGCTTATTGTTTGGTGCTGGTGTGATCACAATGCTATTGTTTAGCACAAAATTGTTTGGAGCCTGCAACGTCGATAACTTGGCCAATATGACGTCACACTTCGGTACTCTATAGTTTCTGAAGTCTAAGGCACAATACCTTTGCATAAAAATGAAAATTGAAATGGAATAAAGTTTAGAATGTGTCTTTGTTTTCAACCATTTATAGATCCTTTTGGAATGTACTAGCACATTAGTAACCATCTTACATAACAACTATAGCACTAACCTACAATAATTTGGGTACATACATACATTTTGCAATATAATTGAGATGAAAAATCATACAACTATGTTCTATAAATCTAAGGAATAGATGATTCTAATGATCTAAAAACCTAGGATTATAACACAAATAATTCAAAAATATAAACATATTGATTTGTTGACCTCGTCATTTAAACTGTATATGTCTTATAAATAATACATATAAAGGAAAAGTCTTTAAAAAAAAAGAAGATGTTTCTGGAAGTTCTAAGTGATAAAATAATAAATTTAGCCATTGTATGCATTTCTAATTCTCAAAATTACGGCAGTAAGGAATGTTTAATTACCCCAAAAATGAAAACATTAAGGAATTCATATTACAGACTACATCATATTCTATTCAGCCTAAAAAGTAGTGTAAGAACAAAAACAAAACTTGCTGGTGTACAAGTTTGTGTTTCATTTTTTTTCCTGACTGAATAAGACATTCTATGTAGGAGAATCAAATCCTTTTAAGGCTTAACCCTATGTAGCCTGGGCTATTTAAAAACTGCATAGTTCGGGCTAGATAGGGTTCACCCACAATACATAAACACACAAACATTGTTTTAAAACAAAATGCCGCCTGCTGAATGAAACTCCTTCATAAAACTAAGATTTCACCTCATTTGGACAAAGAGGGCAGCATTGCATAAAGTCAATTCGGACACTTACAGTAATTGCAAATGTGAAGTTTCCTGTATCAAAGTGACTCAGTAACATTGTTGAAGATTGATGAAAACCTGTTTCATTTTTGTATGAAATGTCATTTATCATATTCCTTCTACTGTACTAATCCTCTAACATGCAAAGAATCCTGAAAAAATTATCAAACCACAAAGATTTTTTTGAATTTGCCCAACCGTTTTCCCATGAAAATAAGACAAGAGACAGGCTTTTAATAATCTAATAATCTTTTAAAATAATATAGAGCCAATTTATTGCTTTGCAACAATTTACATTAAACTTAAATGTAATTAAATTGTATAATATAGTTGGGAGAATTAAGGAATTGATCAGATCAGTTTTCCTAATTTTTATCATTAATAATGGTCTGTTTTCACTCAAACTTTCAGATGATCCTAAATTGTACATCTAGCATTGAAGTCACTACCTTAGCACCATTTTCTATCATCTGAACAATGTTACACTGAAGTCCATTTAAGTAACCTCTTACATTTCCCCCATCTATCTTATAGCATATATAAATGTACATTGGAAGACCAAGGAATGATTTAGATTTTGGCACAATATGAAAGAGTAGACTCTGACGACATACAATAAACATTTTTCAAAGCAGAAAACAGTTGTAGAATTCCCAACACATGATATGAATGAAATTATTCATTGGTTGGATTGTAGACTTACACATTTCACAATTATAACACAACGGATATCAAACTATCAAACTGTCATATCACACACAGTAAATTTCATTTCCAATATTTCTGTTATACACTTGTTATCTTGCTGAGTTGCAATACACACATATTTTTTTCTTCTTTCTATAATGTAATACCTTGACGAATCAAACAATTATTTACATATATTCATCTTTTTTAGTGAAATGACATGATCAATAATTTGATTCGGAAGTTTGTAAAAGTCTATGTATTGCATATACATAACAATTTGTTGTATAAGTTCATTCAAATTCTTGATAATTCTCAATAATTGCATTATCATTCATTGCCGAGAGAAATAATGGATTGAAGCTGCCAAACTGGTACCTTCAGTATTCCAACTGTCCAAGCATACAATTAAATATACACAGAGTATATTGTATATCACTATTAGAAAGGCAGTATCTTGAAATGATGTGTAACATCAACCCATGACTTGAAATTAAGCCATTAGTAACTACAACTGTGTGCCCTGTTGCCACTCATTCACAAGAAGAAACTGACTAGTAACTACACATTATCTGGAAAGACTCTTTCAACAGAAATGCAATGTTTTTCATTACAGAGTCTACCGGAGCTAGAAGGGCATCGATTCTATATTAAAGCCCACTGCACTAATCATAGCTACTTGCGCCCTCTATGAAGCAAAAAATGCCTAATCGGTGACCATTGGTCCCCCATGATGCCCTTTTTCTTATGTTAATTGAGAGCTGACTTGATGAGATAACCACCTGTCAGTGACCTTGCAGGGAGGTCTAATCCCCTCTGGCCAAACTAGTACAGACGGGCTGAGAGTGTATGGGTCAACACCCTTTGGGCTACAAACAAATGATATATATCCTCAGAGATAACAAGTGAGGTGTGATTATGCAGGATCAAACAATTTAATACTATAGAATGTGAATGTTAAAGGGCAGTTTTTTGGACGTGTGGTTGCTTAAAGATCAAAACCCTCTACAGCAATTAAACTGTGCATTCCATCAGCTGCATATAGTGGTAGAAATAATATCAAGTATGGATCTACTTCCATGATGAACTCTAAGGTAATAAACTGAGATCTTTAAACCCTCCTTGTATAAAGCAAATGATGTGTCGGTGATGAGGAAGATGGGAACAGCAATCAATATGTACGCAGCATAGTTGTTTTTACTACATTTCACATACTTATCTGTCTACTAACCCTTTGCCTAAAGGAACCTAATGGTCCATATATTACCGGTAAGCTTATGGGAATTCATAGGTTTACATATCATGAATATTCAAGACTACCAACAGTCCTTTTCAGGACTACACACATTCAAGAAAGAAATATTAAGGAGAGTCCTTTCCAGGTCTCCCCAATCCTCCCCATCTCTCACAAGCCTACTGTACATCTACATCACCATGGAAGCCGATACTTATGAGCAGCATCTAACATGAATATTGTTGTCAACAACACTTTTCTGCATCTCTTACTCTAGCTTTCTTAAATCACTTCCTAAACAAGTTCTACCATTTACAACATCAAAGACTGGTTTCCTGGTTGGTGACCTTTCTGGATACCCTGTACCCCCAGTGACCTAGAAGGGATCAACGCCAAGGCCAGACCTAGCTGCCTCCTGCACTGGGCCGGGCTTGTGAAGAAGAAGACTGTCCTTTCTACAGAATCCATCATTTAAAAACTTCATCCACAGCCTTGCATGATTCGGGGTTCCACTGTTTACCACAGGAAGGATCTTGTATCTTTATAAATACAGTCAAACCTGTCTATAGCGACCACCCAAGGGAAACACAAAAAGTGGTCTTTGTAGATACGTGGACAGGTGGTCTTTGAAGACAGGTTCTATTGGTACATGTTTCAATGAGAATCCATTTTTAACGGAAACAACAAATGTGGTCTTTGTAGATAGGTGGTCACTAAAGCAGGTTTTACTGTATTTAGCTTCTTTTCTCTTGCCATCACCTCGCTACTTAAACCAGTTCTTGTTTTTTCTCAGATTGGAGCCTAGTTGGTGACGACGGCCTACCGTTCATCTTCATCCATCTTCCGAAGATGTCCTCCATGGTCTTACATAATTTGCTATTTCCGTTCTAGACCTGAGGAAGGGTCATGTCTTGTCTTTTGGACCTCGCCTCTTTCTCACTGTTTGTCATCGCACTACTTAAACCAGTTCATGATCTTAACAGATTTGAGCCTAGTTGGTGACGATGACTGTCCATCCTCTGCCGTCCATCTTTTGAAGATATCCTCCATGGCTTTGCGTTTCTGTGGGTTTCCGTTGTTGACTGTGGGTAAGATCTTGTCAGCACTTATGAACTGAACAAAGCGCTTCATCTCAGAGTAGCTGCTGTGTTCACTGTATGGTATTCCTGAAAGAAAAACATCACAACAAATTTCATTTACTGGTACGAAGATTTTCTTCCCTCTTAAACTATCAAGATGATAATGTGACCTCCTTCTAATTTTGGGAAAGATCAAAACAGATATTTCAATCAGGGAAAAGCATTAGAATAGGTGACAAGAGAGAAAGGATAACTTGAACCAAGCTTTAATCTTTTAGCACCAAGGCTGCCAAATATTGAATGCCCTTTTGTAGCTGGTATATTATTTTTTGCCAGAATTGCAATTTTAAGATCGATTCTGTACAAAAACAAACAAGGTGCAACTGTGGAAATATATTTTGAATTTTCTGGGACCATACACACTAATATCTATTCTGAAGAAATAATGACAGTGGTGGTGGTGGTGGTGGTGGTGGTGGTGGTGGCGGCAGTGGTAGTAGTGGTGGTGTGGTGGTGGTGGTTATAGTGGCGATGGTAGTAGTAGCGGTAGAGGCGATGGTGGTAGAGGTGGTGGTGGTGGTTATAGTGGTGGTGGTGGTGGTAGTGGTGGTGTGGTGTTGGTGGTTATAGTGGCGATGGTAGTAGTAGCGGTAGAGGTGGTGGTGGTTATAGTGGCGATGATAGTAGTAGTGGTAGAGGTGGTGGTGGATATATATTGGCGATGGTTGTTGTAGTGGTACAGGTGGTGGTGGTTATATTGACGATGGTAGTAGAAGTGGTAGAGTTGGTGGTGGTTATGGTGGCGATGGTAGTAGTAGTGGTAGAGGTGGTGGTAGAGGTGGTATTCTCATTATACTGTACCATAAATTGTTGATTTTCCACTCTTGGAAGGCTTGATATCTGAGGGTGATTCAACCTTATCACTGTGAGTCCAACCAGTAGGCTTGAAGGCAAGAATGTTGTCATATCTTGAACTGAACTGGGACAGGTACTCCTTCAGCTTCTGCATGAGGATTTGAGAACCATTCAAAGATATTGAATAATCTAATTGTTCAATAAATCAAATATAATGAAGAAATAAATATTGGCAAATTATCCAGAGCTCAATTCTTTTTAAAAGTCAAGTGTTAACAGAAATGTAAACTTTGGATACTAGTGAATAAACAAAATTGTCATAAGTGTGTACATGAATATAGAGCAAATAATTTCATATATTTTTCTTTTAGGGACACAAAACAATCTCCCTCCAGTTATCTAACATAATGAAATGAAGAGTATCTTGCAAGTCCCCTTTTTGGTTTATAAAAAACAAACCATCTTTGACTGAAATCATTATGACCACAAACACACTGACCTGGTGATTAAGCATATTCATGGCTATGACGTGAAGTCCACATGCAGATGTCTTGTTATCACGGGTTAGGAGTGACATCAGATCATCATCTTCAAGGCATTCCAAGACTTTCAACTTCCGAGAATCCACATATACCTTGCATTCCAGTGCTTCAGCAATAGCTGTAAAAAAGGAGAGCAACAAAGGACTGAAATACAGAAATAACATTTTGACTGATGCGTATTAAAGGGGGTGTAGCATGACGAGACTACATGTCTTTCTCGTGGCCTGACTCGGGGCCAATCAGGTATATTACGACTACTATTGCGACTGCAGTAATCACATGCGTGCAACATACGTGAAGCGTGAGGAGAACTTCGGTCTGTTAATCAAGTTGATTCGTTTACGTTCAGTTGTTCAAAAGAAGTCATAGATGGCGTTAACCAGTATTTGCCATGCTACACCCCCTTTAAAACTCAATGCTACATGCACTTATTCATGCTTCCTCACTATCCAAATGCAGAAAGCATTTCCATCTGAAAGAAGTCCCATAAGCAAAAGTACTAAAAGAAATCCCAAAGGCAAACACATCACATGGCTATCCTTGGCAAGGGATGAAAGATGAGATATTTAATAAATGCAAAATTGGTTGGATCGATCTGATTATGGATTATCCTTAAGAACAGCTGCACTTACCAACCTTGCAGGGCAAAAATTAGGAATCCCTCAACGCAAAATAGGGAATACAGTCATTTTATACATTTTGCACACAGAGTAAGAAAGGAATCTAGGGTTCATAACATTAGTGTGAGGGCCAAAAATTAGGAATCATTCCTCCAAAATAGGAATGGTTGACAGCTATGTAACATTGCATTGAGTATACCTAAGTGCATGACTACTTATCATCAGAGATACAATTTGCATGGTGCATAAATTACTTTTTAAACCATTTTGATGATTCATATTGTCTTCCTATTTTGACATAGATAATACAAGCAAGACACTAGCATTGTAATGCAACCCTTGTTATAAGACCAGGGGGTGTTTCACTAAGACAAAGATTGAATTTAAGTTGGACTTTAGTACTGGTAATGCGATTGCATTGCGAAAGAAAAGATGTGGAAAGGATCAGAAACAGTTGATCATGTAGCATGTAAGTATTGGTGTGCACTGCAAGGTTCTGGAGTCATCAAAATCATAATAAATTTGACCGAGTCTTGGTAAAGTAACAAGCACTGTACACAGAAAGTTATATATGGGACAACACACATGGTGTCGGGGCTAGTACTACCTTGATTTCCTTGTCTTTCTATGTAATCTTTCTTTGTAATCTTGAACATTCAGTGTAAGTTTCGTTTGATTCTATGAGAATCCATTTTCTTTTTTTCACCAGAACTGGAGTTTATCTTTAACTACGACAGGCTGTTTATGCCGCTGTTTGCTCTCACCATTTACTGGCATTGGTCTTACAAGGGATGTACAAATTATGGTCACAAATCTACAGAATTGACATATTTTGATAATTCGTTATTGAAGGAAAATATATTATCTAAAGATCATAATTGAGAGACCAATGGTGAGAGCAACCAGTGGCATGAATGGCCTGCCATATGTAAGTCCAACTTAGAGTCGATCTTAGTCTTTGTGAAACACTCCCCAGGCCAAACACAGTTTCACTTCTTAATCACAGATAATCATTACAGAGCATTTCTAAGGATTTTTTTTTTCTCTCAGTGATTGATAAATGATGTTGTAAAATTGCAAATTCTGAAGAGTCACAATGGATCTTTTGGTGTGGCACAAGTTGAACTTGTTTGCTTTCTCCCCATTCTTTGAAGTTCTTTTTCTCTTAATATCATACCTCTGAAAACCTTCTCTTTGCCAATTGTGTAGGTTGCACACACGATTAGGGTCTTCTTGTTTGATTTCACAGCCTGGACAGCTATCTTTACTGCAAACTCTATCACTTCAGTCTGAGATGGAAATTTGTACTGAGGATCACAGTACCTACAAATGATACATAAAATTAATGTTACATACTGTCCATCAAAATAGAATTTTAAGGGAAGTTCTTACAAATTTACTCTTAATTGTACTTGTAATTAAATATCTACTGTCTATTCATGTCTGTTTTTTCACTGGTATAAATTTACAAGTCAATTTACAGAAAGAAATAATCATAATTATAGACAGTTAAAGTAATGGTTGATATTCATAATGCAAACAGAACAATAAAAAGAGTCAAAATAGCGCAATTGAGTAGGTTACACAAAATAAATTATAAAGGATGCCCGGTGATGACAGACGGAGCAAGAGAGTAGAAGATAAGGTAGGCAGAAGACGTGGATAGAGCAGAGAAGAACAGATAGAAAGAGAGAGTGAGCCAAGAGTTGGATACATCCAATGTATTTTAGCTGTGTATACTGATATAATGAGGATAAGTTAATCTTTCAAATTCAATCAATATACAAGGTTAACAAAGGACAATATACTGCAAATGAAAACAAATGGGATTACAATCAGTAAATGTACAGCATAATGAGCATATAAAATAATAAAATACACTGAACAGCAACAACAACAACATTCATATGCACATAACAGATCAGATACTAAGCTCAAAGCTGAATATCTCATCAGCCAGAATGCTTATCAAATAGATAGAAAGCAACCTCAGGAGTGATCCATCTTTTCCAACTTCACAAGAAATAGTTCTTACCAACAGAATGGTATGCAGGTGTTGAAGCATATCCAAGACAAATTAAAAAAACAAATTTTCCAAAGTTAAAGATAAATTTGAGTTCTGGTCATGCAATAGCATGGTGAAAGAAACGGTGTGAAATCGATCAGAAAAGGTTGATACTCTAGCATACAAGTACTGGTGTGTACTGCAAGGTTCTGGAATCGTCAAAATTATAAGAGATTTGGCCCAGTCTTGGTAAAGTTACAAGCACTGTACACAGAAAGATGTATATGGGGGTACACAAACATGTGGCATATTTAGACTATGAAAGCATTCGAAGAGCCATGTTTTTGAGGATACAATTTTTATCTGATGTTCTTCCACACTTGCATAATAACAATGATAACGCTTACAAATTATTTGTCACCTCTTCCCAGAACTCAACCTTCTCTAATAAGCATCTCACTTCTCTCTTCATGCTCTTCGCATATCTTCGCCTTCAAACCATACCCTGACTTACGTAGTATCCAGATAGAGTTGGTTGACATGGCAACTGCTCAGTTGGGGATATAGCTCCATCTCAGCATCGGCCCTGAAGTCACCGGTATGTAGATAGATGACTCCTGATTTCAGCTTGTATAGGAACATCACAGCACCTGGGCAGCTGAAAAATGCAGTACAGACAAACCAGAGAAAAATTTATAATGTGCAGAGTGAAAATTCATAAGAGTTCTTAAACTAAATTATAGGCTCACTAATATATACATTACACATACACAGGCAAACATTTCAAAAACATTAGAAAATAAGAGAAGGGGACAATGAGAAAAAAATGAAATATATATATATATATAGAGAGAGAGAGAGAGAGAGAGAGAGAGAGAAGAGAGAGAGAGAGAGAGAGAGAGAGAGAAGGAACAGGGGGTGGGGAAGGGGGAGGATAAGGAAATAGATGTCAACAAGAGGAGACAACCCAAGAAAGAACATATAGAGAGGGAGAGAGAGCGAGAGAGAGGGAGAGAGAGCAACATACAGAGAGAAAGTGAGTGACAAGAGGAGGGAAGTAGTGGAAGGCAGCTCTGGTCATAATTTCAAGTGCTTAAATTCCCTGCAATCCGTATACTAGACATGGATCAAGAAATTAAACTAGAGATTAAATGCTTAGTCTAGGGGTCATAATCACCAGGCCAGGATTCAAACCTCAAGCTCTCTGAATGAGCATTAAACCAGATGACCCATGTCAGGTGTAATATGTAACAGAGAGTTTGAACTGTCAGACTATGTAACTCCATTGGCTCTGACTATAGCTCACAGAGACTGAAATATTATTCTTGTCACAAGGCTTTATGAATTGTCTCAAAGTCTGTGCCTGCAGACTATTTTCCCAGAGTGATCATAATTCATAGTTGTTTTTTAATTTGATTATAAATCATATAGTCCACTTACTGGTTTGCTTCGAGTAGTGTAACCTCCACGCCATCTACTTTGCAAGGTTCATTCATGGGTAAAATCTTCACATATTCAGCAGCTACATTCAGTCTGGATATCACAAGATTTCCTGTTACCTGATGTACAAGAAAAGAACAGGTTGATACATGAACCCATTGACTACTGAATTCATTTAGTGCTATAGGTTTAATACCAAAACCCTCTAGTTACAGTAGTTAATTGTGTTAAGGGGATAGTGGGAGAAAGAGGGTAGAAAGAGTAAGAAAATAAGATGTTGAGAGTGAAAGAGAGGGCGGGGAGGGGGAGATGTAGATGTAGTCATGTAGATACATTTCAACATTAAAAAGTGGATGAGAGTATCATGAGAGCAATATAAAGATTTAAAACTCTACATCAAATATTTTTATCGCTGCACAAATAAAATGATATTGATTATTTATTGATTGAATGTCTGCTTTCAAATAATTGTTCAAGAAATAAATTCCTTTAAAGTCTATCTGCACTACTTTGGCCAGGAGGGATTAGACCTCCCTGCATAATCTATGGCAGGTTGTAATCTCATCAAATCAGCTCTCAATTAACATAAGAAAAAGGGGACCATGGAGGATTAATGGTCACCACTTAGGCTTAGATTACTATCTAGGGGGCGCAAGTAGCTATAAGTAGTGCAGTGGGTCTTTAAAGTTTGAGATTTCATCTGCAATCACTCTCAAGCTGATTCTATACCTTGCTACAGTAGAGCTGTTGGTCAAAGTGCTTGGTGAGACCACCATAGTGATCATAGTGGAAGTGACTTAAGAAGTACGCTTTGCATCCTGGGATAACACCATACCTGAAGGCATCCACTGTGAAAGATGTATCTGATAACGAGGTAAATGTTGGAGAGAAAGAAGGGCAATATGTCTTTAGTGTCTCCTTGACATTGATTTACAGTGTATCTATGTATTATACTAACATCTTTAATGGATTTGCAAGATTGAAAATGATGTGTTAAATGATATTCTTTTTCATGTGATATTAACTCCAATGAATTGTGAAATTGTGAACTTGCATGCATGCATAAATAAATGATTAAAGAGAGCCTTATAAATGCAGAAACATGTCTTACCAAACTTACTTTTGGTAATTCACAGACAAAACTGATGGGTTAATAACTTAATATCTTTTATTATTAAATTAATTATCATATATGTACCTTGTTTGCTTGTATTATTTGTTGTTGTTATACTCCTTTATGTTCCTGGAAATTTAATACAATAATCACTACATTTTTTCCTCTCCAAACTAAACCACCTCAAAGTTAATAATTAGCTTCCCTGCTTAAATCAAATCATGTGATTCATGGATTCTATGGACAAGCAACGTGTAATGGAAAACACAGTAACATAAAAGTGCTGAAAATTATTTCAAAGAAGTTTAATTGTACTGGAGCAGTATTGTTTACCTGGCATCTTTTTGTAGAAGGGACATTCCTTGCGACTGCTGTTCCCCCATTCCTTCTTCCCCTCGCCTTCTCCTTTGTTCTTCTTGTATGTCTGCTTTGCTCCTCTCCACTGTCCCTTCTCCTGGATCTTCTGAGATGGTGGCTCTACTTTTGGTGCAGGTTTACACCCCAAAAAGAAGTCTAATGTTCCCTGTTTCGATGATGGCTCTACTTTTGGTAAAGGTTTGCACCCCAAAAAGGAGTCCAGTGTTCCCTGTTTCTTAAGCTTTGGAGTGACTGCTGGAGTCGATGTGGAGGTGTTATGCACGCTAGATTGTCTTGAGTATTCTTCGTCTTTTGCTGACATTGCACTTCTTGCATCACTTGTCCCCCATCCAGACGTTGATGGTCTCTCTTCCTTATTCGGGAGTTCTTCCTCCTCATCATCCACTTCCATGTCTTCCTCTCCATCTTCTGAACACTCTGCCGCATCATCTGATTTGCCTGGAAGATTGCTGACACCAGGAATGTTGAACAAACTCTGGCTGGGTTCGTCTTCTGAAAATACCACAGCTTGATGCATTTTTCCTTCATGGTCGTCTAAAGTAGGGACAATTTCTTTGTTCTTATCAAGATTGCTGACGGTAAGAAATTGTCCTTCTTTGTTCTCACCAGGAATGTTGAACAAACTCTGGCTGTCTTCATCTTCTGAAAACACCACAGCTTGATCCATTTCCCCTTCACGGTGGTCCAAAGAAGGTACAGGAGGGTTAATGAGACTCTTGCTCTCTTCCTTCTGGCTTCCATCTTCCAGGGTGTCTTGACCTTTAACCTCACCATCTATTTTTGACCCCTGACCTCCAATATCAGAAGAATCATCCCCATTGGCATCAGCAAAAAAGAAATCCTCTAAGGTCGTATCATCATCATCATCATCATCTTGAATTGGAGCTGGAGGAACCTCAATGAAGTTTGGAGGATTAGACTTCTTGGGCCGATTTCTTGACGTTGCGTCGTCATCCTCCTCAAAGTTGGAATTCTGTGAAGAAAAAAGCAACTCACTTCCTTCACTGGCTGCATCATCCTGGATACAAAAGAAATGTTCATCTGTTAGCTTATCAACATCATTTGCCACACTCTGTGGATTCTTGGGTACCCTCTTCATATCTTGTTTTGGTTTAAGTTTAACAAATTCATCCTTACAATCTGCCTTTGACCCAGCATCATCAGCAGTCAATACTTTTGTCTTCTTAAAATTGTTCTGGTCTCTACACTCTGGCTCACTTTGATCACTTGCAAATATATCCATATCACTTTTGACCAGTTCACTTTCACCACTTGCAAAAATATCCATATCACTTTCGACAAATGGTTGAGAGTCTTCAGAAACAGAGGACCATGAGGGTGGGTCAAAAGTCACATTTGTTTCCAAATTGGAAAGGGGAGAGTGCGAAGCTCTATTAAATACGGCACCAAGTGTTTTCTGCTCAAGACCAAGGGTACTTAAGGTCAAGTTGGTTAGGGTGGACTGATCAGGGTCTTTCTTCAATGTATTGTCTTTACTTACACTTTTCTGGTTCTCTGTATAAGATGTTTCACTTTCTCCTAGATTTTCACGCTTTGGTGTAGGCATCTCTTCTTTATTTGCTAGTATCCTATCCAAGGTTCTTTGATTTCTGTTGATTACTCCTTTTGCAGATTTCCTGGCAGTGTTTTTTAATTTGGACTTAGGTTGTGAGGGAGCAATTTGAGAAGAGCATTGTTCCCTAGGGGTTAATATGACCCTTTCACCTTTAATTTTGCATTCATAGTCCCCCTTTGGAGTACTGTGGTACATGGATGGTGCTGCTGCTGGCTTTGAAGAGGAAGGTATTTCAAAATCACTGTCTGACGTCATGACCTCTGGCTCTGCTTTCAAAGAAGTGAACCTATCATCCATCATTGATGAATCGTCAGGTTTCATCTCTGATCTGACTAGAGCTAGCAGATCGTGGCTGAACTTCTCATAGTGGCTCAAGATTGTGATGTTGCAAAACTGACCTTCTGGACATTCTGTAATGTCAACAGAAATTAAAGGGTATTGAAAATGTTTGAAGAAAAATTGATTGGAGCTCTAGAATGCATGCAATAATTATCATTTTTGAGAGGTTACTTTAGTCTTTAGAATCAAATAATTAATTTAAGTATCGAGAATTAGACACTAGAGAGATGTATAATAGTTAGAAAGTGCAATAAAATAAAGTATGAGTATATGATGTTTGAGCAGTTTTTAGTAAAGATTATTTTGAAACAAATGAAAAATCTGAAAAATTAAAGCATATATGGATTATGGAGATATCTTATACATAATAACAATCATGTAACTTTGTAAAATAAAATGTCACCTCAGACAGTTTAGAAAAATATTTATTCTAAAGAAGGGAAAAATATGTTGTCAAAAAAAAGTAGTAATATGGGAAAAATGAAATAACATAACATTGGAAGCACTAGTGTACTTATTGCACCAACACCAGTATTCTCATTCCCACTCCATAGACGCTACACATAAATTGTGGGTGACGCCGTGACGGAATGAATCATGCCCAGTGTGAAAGTGCAGTGCAGTATTGCCATTGAAATTAATAGTTTATTATTTAAACTAGACCGAAAGCTTCAGTCTCTATACCGTCGGTTGTTCCACTGAGACTACGTCTGGCTCCACTAGACCTCCGGTTATAGAGACAGAACGATCGCCTATGCCAGCCTATGTTGAAGATATCACGGCTAGATTTTAGCCGTTAGGCCCCTCCCACAAACATGAACAAACTTGCCACGGCCGTATTGTTATGCCCCCAAAATCCCCCAAAATGTCATTTTACCTCGTGCATATCCAATTTTACATTAGGCCTAGGCTATAATACATCGGTTCCACTTACTAACTTGATTGAAATAATCTGTTTAATGATCCCTTTTAAGGAAATTATGGGTCAAAATCGACATCCATGTTGAAAATCTTGCAAGCCGTGTTAAACTCTCGCTGCCGTCACTCTCATCCCTTCTAGTCTACGCCGAAGGCAAAATGATTATGAAGGAAAAACTGTGCGCCATCTACACGTTCGTAATGGCGTTATCACAGTTTTTCCTTCATAATCATTTTTGCTTTCGGCGTAGACTAGAAGGGATGAGATTGATGGCAGCGAGAGTTTAACACGGCTTGCAAGATTTTCAACATGGATGTCGATTTTGACCCATAATTTCCTTAAAAGGGACCATTAAACGGATTATTTCAATCAAGTTAGTAAGTGGAACCGATGTATTATAGCCTAGGCCTAATGTAAAATTGGATATGCACAAGGTAAAATGACATTTTGGGGGATTTTGGGGGCATAACAATACGGCCGTGGCAAGTTTGTTCATGTTTGTGGGAGGGGCCTAACGGCTAAAATCTAGCCGTGATATCTTCAACATAGGCTGGCATAGGCGATCGTTCAGTCTCTATAACCGGAGGTCTAGTGGAGCCAGACGTAGTCTCAGTGGAACAACCGACGGTATAGAGACTGAAGCTTTCGGTCTATATTTAAACACATTAAATATTATTAACAAATTTAAACAGATGTTACAGATCTATAAAATATACTGATAAATATGTTAAGACTTATTATTCATGATTACTGGACAAACTTATAAATCTTTTAGAGAATAATTACCATTGTCTGGTTTTGGAAGTTCAAGGCAGTCTTGTATATGCTGTCCTGGAGAAGTTAAATGAATTGAGCAAAACGGTGCTTGACAAATTGGACAATATCCTTGTAATTCGTCTCCAGTTTCACATTTATTATCATGATTATTCTCAGTGTTTGTCATTTCTTTCTTCATTTTGTGCTGCTTTTTCCCTGATTTATTAGCAGGAGTCCGACTCGGCTGGCTTGCACAAACACTCTTGCTCGGTTTTTGTGAAGAATCAAATATTTTTCGACGACTTAGATGATTAGTTGGTCTGGAGCTGGGGGTCACGCCGCCACATTGGGACTGGGGAATCCCCGACATGTCCCGCGGCCGCGGAGTAGACTGACTTGACGAGGTACCGTTTTGCTGAGATGACGAAAATTGGTCCTCAGATTTTCTAAACCTCTTCAAACTAGGCCTGTGCATCCACTCTTCGTCATCATCTTCACTCTTTGCTGATGAATTTTTGGATGCCATTCTGAACAAGTCAAATAGAATGTGATTTAACTAAAAACGTTTAACTCTAGCCTATCATTAGCATCATTGAGTACACAGCTCAGCTATATCTTGTCATGTTGAAATTGGGTGAAGCTTTTCTTCACACACCTAATCGGAGATGAAGGTAGCCCATCTTGTGTAAAAAATGCCAATTTGATAAGTGTAAGGATCGCATTGTACACGTACAACCGCTATACTACACACACGCAATATATTCTTTGTGTATTGTATCCATCAGGCATGATCAGTGCAACGATGGCTGGCTACCAATTAAAATAGGCATGGTGGTCGGATATAATGAGAGTAGACGATGGAGGGGGGGGGGGGGGGGGGGGGTAAAGCTCAGTACTTAGGGGCAAATCAAAGAATTATACTAAGACCTCACCTCATTTATGTTAGAAATTAAAACGTTATTATCTTCTTTCGAATTGCAATATATCCCCGCACCATAATTATAAGCATGTCATGCATATATATGCTTTTTCTCTGGGAAAGGGGACATTGACTCTTTAAATACCAAATCTCATAAACTATTCACCATTATGTCACCGTCATATACATATTTTCTATGGATATAATTTTTCACGATCTCAATTTTTCACCACCCTAGCGCCATGTACATTGTCTATGGATAAAGTGGAATATTAACTCTTCACCACCCTACGCTAACTTTTCACCACCCTACCGTCATGTACTTTGTCTATGGATAAACTGGAATATTAACTCTTCACCACCCTACGCTAACTTTTCACCACCCTAGCGTCATGTACATTATCTATGGATAAGCTGGAATAATAACTCTTCACCACCCTACGCTAACTTTTCACCACCCTACCGTCATGTGCATTGTCTATGGATAAGCTGGAATATTAACTCTTCACCACCCTACGCTAACTTTTCACCACCCTACCGTCATGTACATTGTCTATGGATAAGCTGGAATATTAACTCTTCACCACCCTACGCTAACTTTTCACCACCCTAGCGCCATGTACAGTGTCTATGGATAAACTGGAATATTAATTTTTCACCACCCTACGCTAACTTTTCACCACCCTACCGTCATGTGCATTGTCTATGGATAAGCTGGAATATTAACTCTTCACCACCCTACGCTAACTTTTCACCACCCTAGCGCCATGTACAGTGTCTATGGATAAACTGGAATATTAATTTTTCACCACCCTACGCTAACTTTTCACCACCCTAGCGTCATGTACATTATCTATGGATAAGCTGGAATAATAACTCTTCACCACCCTACGCTAACTTTTCACCACCCTACCGTCATGTGCATTGTCTATGGATAAGCTGGAATATTAACTCTTCACCACCCTACGCTAACTTTTCACCACCCTACCGTCATGTACATTGTCTATGGATAAGCTGGAATATTAACTCTTCACCACCCTACGCTAACTTTTCACCACCCTAGCGCCATGTACAGTGTCTATGGATAAACTGGAATATTAATTTTTCACCACCCTACGCTAACTTTTCACCACCCTACCGTCATGCTGTGCATTGTCTATGGATAAGCTGGAATATTAACTCTTCACCACCCTACGCTAACTTTTCACCACCCTAGCGCCATGTACAGTGTCTATGGATAAACTGGAATATTAATTTTTCACCACCCTACGCTAACTTTTCACCACCCTACCGTCATGTGCATTGTCTATGGATTATTAACTCTTCACCACCCTACGCTAACTTTTCACCACCCTAGCGTCATGTACATTATCTATGGATAAGCTGGAATAATAACTCTTCACCACCCTACGCTAACTTTTCACCACCCTACCGTCATGTGCATTGTCTATGGATAAGCTGGAATATTAACTCTTCACCACCCTACGCTAACTTTTCACCACCCTAGCGCCATGTTCATTGTCTATGGATAAGCTGGAATATTAACTCTTCACCGCCCTACGCTAACTTTTCACCACCCTACCGTCATGTACATTGTCTATGGATAAACTGGAATATTAGTTTTTCACCACCCTACGCTAACTTTTCACCACCCTATAGCGCCATGTACATTGACTATGGATAAACTGGAATATTAATTTTTCACCATCCAATTACAATACAGTTTATTGAAGTTTAAACGGGTATTATGTCCTATGTGCAGGCCAAAAATAATGACGAGGTTAAATTCCAACGTAATTTGAATGATAATAATAATTTAGAACTTCCCTCAAAACCAAAAGGTTTGAAAATGTCTTTTTGTGAGAAAATAATGATCATTAGTTGTCGAATTGATTTTAGCGAGCACGCTCGTTTAATTAGTCTGATTTTTACATAATAGACATGTACATTTAGTACATGTAGAGAGGCGCGGATCCAGGAGGGGGCGAGCGGGCCTTGCCCCCCCCCCCCCCGAAAAAAAGGAGAGAAAGAAAAGGAAAAGAAGGGAAAGGGAAAGAGGAGAAAAAGGAGAAAAAGAGGAAGAAGAAAAGAAAAGAGGGAAGAAGGAGATCGGGGGGGGGGGGGCAAAAGGAATTGCCTCCCATGCTGCTGCCCCCCCCCCCCCCAATCAAAAATTAAAAGAGAAGGAAGGAAAGGGAAAGAAAAAAGGAAAAGCTGAGATAAAGGGAAGGAAAAAAGAGGAAGAAGAAAAGAAAAGAAGGGGGATATCAGTTGCAATTTTCCCGATCGGGGGGGGGGGTGGAGGCAAAAGGCCCTTGCCTCCCCCCCCCCCCCCCCCCCGTCCCCGCGTTAAAAAAAAAAGAGAAGGAAGGAAAAGGAAAAGAGGAGAGCTAAAAGGGAACAAAAAAGAGGAAGAAGAAAAGAAAAGGGAGAAAAGAAGGGGAGATCAGTCAACAATGTGTGGAGCGGAGTGGGCCCCCCCCCCCCAGGCAAACTTAAAAGAGAGAGAAGGGAAGGGAAAGGGAAAGAGGAGAGAAAGGGAAAGAGCAAAAAGAGAATGAAGAAAGGTAAGGGATATCAGTTGTAATTTTCTCGTCAACAAGGTGTAAATCGGGGGGGGGGGGGGGGCACTGGCGTACTGATAGGGGAGGGGGGGGGGCTTTGGGGAAATAAAATTCAAACGTGGTTTATTTCTAATTCCATAACGGTGGTTTACAAATAATGCTGAAATGACATAATTTCCCGAGATTTTTCATCACTTTTAAGTAAATTGTACTTTTGTATGCGTTTGTTGGAAAATGACAAATTCCTAAATTTACAGCCAGGCAAGAAAATGCTTCTTGAGATGCCTACATGTCAGGGCCCGCGGAACGGCGGGGATCGGGATCCTCGAGCCCCCCCCCCCCCACTTTTTTTTGAAAAAGTATATTAAAGAGAAATAGAAAGAAAGAGAGCAAGAAAGAAAAAATAGTTAACTGCCAGTGTCACATTATAATGATGTATCAAAATATGCTCATCTGACCATGATTAAATAAATGCCTAAAACCACGACGGCTCAGCCCCCTGGATTCCACCTAGGGCCCTAAGGCGGGCCCCTTGATACACATCTGACCGTAATTGAGTGCCTAAAACCCTTGAGTTTCCGGGGGCTCCGCCCCCGGAACCCCACGCCAATTAGTGACCTGCAAATGTCACAATTAGGTATCAAAATAATGCTCATCTGACCGTAATTAAATGCCTAAAACCCCTGAACTTCCGGGGGCAGACAAGGTATCAACATAAGTTCATCTGACTGCAGGCGCGTAGCCAGGGGGCGGTGGGGTGGTATGATGTATCAAAATATGCTCATCTGACCATGATTAAATAAATGCCTAAAACCACGACGGCTCAGCCCCCTGGATTCCACCTAGGGCCCTAAGGCGGGCCCCTTGATACACATCTGACCGTAATTGAGTGCCTAAAACCCTTGAGTTTCCGGGGGCTCCGCCCCCGGAACCCCACGCCAATTAGTGACCTGCAAATGTCACAATTAGGTATCAAAATAATGCTCATCTGACCGTAATTAAATGCCTAAAACCCCTGAACTTCCGGGGGCAGACAAGGTATCAACATAAGTTCATCTGACTGCAGGCGCGTAGCCAGGGGGAGGTGGGGTGGTCCCCCAAAAAACGCGTAGCTAGGGAGCGCGGGAGGGGAAAACTGAATTCAGACGAAGAATATTTTCGAGAGCGGTACAACGAATCGTCTTCTTTCTCTAATAACTTAATGAAACGTAAAAGCTTCCGCGCTTCGCACGGGGGGGGGGGGGGGAACTGAAGTTAGACAAGGATTAAGAGTCAAGAACGATACAACGAATCGTCTTCTTTCTCTAATGATTTAATGAAACGTAAAAGCTTCCGCGCTTCGCGCGGGAGGGGGGGGGGGGAAACTGAATTTAGACGAAGATTAAGAGTCGATAACGGTACAACGAATCGTCTTCTTTCTCTAATAATGTTTTGAAATGTTAAAGCTTCCGCGCTTCGCGGAGGAGGGAGGGAGGAAACTCGCCCCTACTTGCACCCACCCCCCTTCCAATTACGTCACTGCTGGTCATCATAACGTACCAATATTTGGCTCGCATGATTTCAAATTTGCCCCCCCCCCCCTCCCTAAGAAATCCTGGATCCGTGCCTGCATGTAATGCTCATTTACCCCTTACAGCTCTATTTATTACCAAAGCAAGCCAATCATTCATTCAATAGCGTCTGACAGTCAAGTCTTAAAAGTAAACAGGTTTCCTTGTATAATTTGAATTCTATAGGACACTGCTGACAGATAGGACATACGTGACATATTCACAATTCCTGCAAAGTTCTTCAGACTTTCATGTTGGCTGAAAAAGAGATCATGGGGTTCAAATAAAACCTTTAAGAGATTTATTATTTCCGATCGGTGGGTTTATGTATAAGCAATTGCTTCACGAGGATGAACTGAAATAACAAGTTGCGATCCCCTTCTGTCGCCTATATAAATTTAAAAAAAATATATAGTGCTTCATATGTAGACGGGTGAGATACTTTAACAATGAAACAGTCCTCTTTATTTAACAGACTATCAAACAAATTATAAAACTTGCACTCTCCAAAATATTATCGTCAAGAATTTAAAATTCTATTGTGCTAGCCTGTATATCTTTTTCTAATACAACTGTAGAGAAAACATATATTG